CCTTTTCCAGCCTCGATGTGTGTGTGTGTACCCACAGGGCGAGGAGGCAATCGGCGCAAGGATCACGCTCCCCAGCGCTCGTCGCGCCGCCAGCCAGACCCCCAGGAGACCCAGACGTCCCCGTCGGGCCCTCGGGGTCTTCGGGCGGGCCCCCCCAGCAGCCTTGCAGCCACTCCCAACGCCAGGTGAGAACCCGCGGAGACCAACGGCGGGATATCGGAAGGCGCGCACGAACGCACGGGCGGCCTGCCATCGCTGCACTGGGTTCGCAGCGCGCGGAACCTGAGGTAAGGGGCCGTAACCCTTGGGCGGTCCTCGTACTCACCCCGCACGCCCTGCACCTCCACTCGCCTCGGGCAAAACTGAACCAAACCTCGTGGGCGGGGCGGTCGGCGATGGTGACAATGAGTCTTAACTTTGGCTCGGACTGGGTAGGCCTCGCACGATGACCGACCTTCGACTCAGACGACTCTAGCCCCAGATCAATCACCCGCGTGCCCGCCCAATCCAGGTGTTTAACACACTGTTGGGCCTCCTTCAAGGCAAGACGATACATGTCAGCCGTGCCCTGTCCCACAGACGTGCCGGCCGCCCCAGCCTTGGCAAAGCAATCGTCCCAAGCAGAACTGAGGCCGTAACTGAAGGGAAGGCCTTCGGCGCGCGTGAGGCACGCAGAATCCGCCAAATCATCTTGGGTGGGGCACCAGTGCATTACAGGAGGAGCCCCCGCTCGCTTCTGCAGCAACGCTTGGATCTGAGTCCAAATAGCAGCATGCCTGGAACCAGGCCCTTCACTCAGCACCCCGTTGCGCCGTTGCGTCGGCCAGCCCAATATTGATTCACAACGATGTTGGCAGTGGGCACTTTTTCCAACGCGCGAAACACGGCAGCACCATCGGCCCCGCCGACCGTCTGGCAGCCTTCTGCCAGGCGCCCAAAGCAGGGTCTGGAATGCACCCCTCCGTCAGACATTTGGACGAAGGCCCACCCGTAGCATCGAATTTCAGGCTGGAAACTCCACCTGTTCGACCCGTTCGCGGCAACAATGTTGCCGCGCTCTGGAATTGGCGGTGCGACTAAATTCTGATGTTCGCTATTGACATACCATCTTCAGTCCACTTGTCGCTCTGGAGCTCTATCTGTCGTTTCAAAGTACCGCAGCTCACTCTGGCCCGAGCCTTTTCATGGCGGACCTGGGCCCCGGCCCCGGCGCACCACCGCTTGGCCGGCACGCGGGCCCCCTCGCGCTGGCGCTCACCGCGGCTGGCGCCGGACGTTGGTCGCGGCACTTTGGGCCTGGTGATCTGGCCGAGGCCTGGCGCTGGCAGCGTGGGCCGCTGGTGCCATCTGACGCCGCCGTTGGGTCCGACGGGCCGGGCCACGAGCTCGAGTGCCCGGAGCGCGAGTGCACCATCCCCGAGCCGTGGTCCCTCCTGGACCGGCTCGACGGGGAGTGGGCGGACCGTGGGATCGCCTTGCCGGCCAGGCTTGCGCTCTGCAGGGCGCGCCTCGGCTGCCAGAGGCGAGCTCGGCGGCGGGCGAACCCGTCGCTCGACCACCACGAGAACGAGGACTACTTGCAGGCAGGGGTTGGCCCCGGCGGCCGCGGCGGCCTCAGCGGAGCGTCGACGCCTTCGACGTCTCGGCGGTCTGGACGCCTAGGCGTGGCGCTCGTGCCCTTCCTCCTGTGCCTGGTGATTGATGGCGGCTGCTGCCGACTTCCGTGGCATGGGCACCGCGGAGCCGCAAGTGGCCATCTACTACCCCGACGACCCGAACATCAATTGGCACACGCGGATTCTCCTTCAGAAGTTGAACGAGCAGGTGAGGTGAGTGGCAGCCACTCCGGATGGCGACATCCAGGTCGTGGATTTGGCGCAGCACCGCGTGCTGCCGATCCGACGCGGAGCTGCCGCGCCAGCCAGGATGTGGCTGGCTGGCTGGCATCGCGAGGCTCAACAGCTAGCGCTGGTTCTCGGAGGAGTGGCTGCTATGGCTGGTGGCGGAATAGGCGCGAAGTGGTACTACACCTTTCCGTGGCCCGTCGGCTGCCGCGGAGCTCTTCTCGGCCATCAGGGGCGCGGGGCACGACGTTGGGTCCTGCCGCGACTGGTGCATCGCGTGCTCAGGGCTCAAATTTCGGCCGATCACCCTTTTGCCCGCGACCGCAGCGATTTGCTGATGGTGCTGCGCCACCTGGTGAGCTACGACCAGGTCAATGGCCTCCAGTGCGCGGCCGCTGAATCCACGAGTCGCTTGATCTTGCAGAACCACGCCGCGGTGATGTGGAACGCGAAGGCGCTGGACTTCAAGGGGGCGTCTGTCGCGGTTTGCAGCTCGCTGTCTTTCAGGGGCCGGCGCCATGATTGTCGACTCCGCGAAGTGGACCGCAGAGGAGCAGAAGACGGAGGCCTCCACCATGAATCAGCGCCGCCTTTATGCCGAGGAGATCGGCCATGCTGCGAGGTCCTCGCTGCCCCACGGGGGCGGGAAGAAGTAGTGGCTACGGTTCTGGCAGGAGGAGGTCGCCCCGACGCGCCGTGCGGGATGCTTCCTGCAATGCCCGCGCCTGGCGACTCGCCCGGCCCAGGCGCGGCCCTCTTCCCCCTTCGTCTACGCGCTCGTGATGATAGGGATCGTCAGGGATTACCTCAGTATCTCCGCCGGAGTCTCGCGAAGCAGGATTAGCATGGGGGACTTGTCGCGGACGCCGTCTCCTCGCTCAACGCCCTCTACGCGCCCTTAGGCTCAGGGCATTCGGCGTTCGAGGCGCCCGCGAGCCACGAGGCCGGCGAGCCCGTTTCCGGCGTCAACGACGCGGCGTTGGGCGACGTCGGCCGGGCTGTCAGCGTCGCCCCCCCGGAACCCGATGAACGAGAACTCTGTAGTGACGGAGCCTTCAAGTGCAAGGACATCTACGGCGCCGACCAGGGCGCGACGGCGGCGCCCTACGACCCGGAGAAGCTTCGGGTCCTTAGAGGTGACCTCCGCCCTCAACGGACGGAGCGCCTCGTCGGGCCGGCCGCCCGGCAGAAACTTCTGGGGCCCGCCGAGCATATATTTCGAACCCAAGCCGAGGTGGGCGAATTGCGAGAGCTTCCACGACCATATCGGGGCCCTCGGCTTGCTGGCCCACGTTCAGAAAGGGGTTCGCTGGTCCAACAGTTGGAGAAGGCTGGTCTGATTACTTGGCGGACTCGCATTCGTTCTCGCGCGGGGGCCTTCTTCGCGCGGAAGAAGACAGGTGCAGTGCGACTTGTTCTCAATTGCCGCAGTGCCAACGCCCTCCATGGAGACCCTCCGCGTTCGGCGCTGGCCGCGCCGGCCGCGCTGGGACATATCCTCGCGGGGCCAGCCTGGATTAACGCCGACCTCGAGGCGCGCGACCAGATCAACTAGCAGCCGCGCAGCCCAGCCGCACCGCGGACCGCACGCCGCCAGCGTCGACTTGCTCGACGGCTATTACCAGTTCAGATGCGACGCGATGGCCTCGTGGTACGCCCTCGGTTCCCACGCGACGGCGTCCGAGGTGGGCGTCGCTGATGAGCTCGGCGAGGCCACTGGGAACATGGTGCCCGTCTCGGGCACGATGGTCGTCGAGGCGTGCTTCCGTGGGATGCCGACGGGCTGGAGCTGGGCGCCCTACTTCTGCCACCACGCGCTCTCCGAGCGCGGGCGGCGCGCTCAACTTGGACTCATCGACAGGAGTCATCGGTGACCGACAGGAGGCGCCCGCCCTGCATCTCCACGTCGCCCGGCTAGCGCCCTACGTCGACAACGGCAACGTGGTCGCTGGCTCCAAGCAGGTGTGCGAGGCGCTTCTGGATGCGCTCGAGGACGAGCTCACCAGCGTGGCCTCGCGGTCCACGAGGAGATCAGGCCGACGCAGGAGATGGAGATCCTCGGGCGTGTATGGGGTGGAGGCCGAGGCGAGCTACGACCTCGGCGAGTTCGCGCGTGGCGCCTCTGGTATGCCCTCGACGCCCTCTTGCACCAGCGCAAGCTTTCTCCTGCCATGGCGAGGCGGCTCGCGGGCCAACTGGTGGATCTGCTTTCGATCCGGCGGGGGTTCTTGTCCGCGGTGTGCCACATCTACCGCATCATCGGCGACGGGGCGGGGGCGCCCAAGGTCTTGCTGGGCCCGCTGCTGGTCAAGCTGCGGATCATCGAGGGCCTGCCGCCGCTCGTCGTGCGCAATTTCACGCGGGAGCCCTGCTCGAAGCAGTGCTGCAGCGACTCCTCGGGCTTCGGGCACGCCGCCCACGCGTCCGACGTCGCGCCGCGGGAGCTGCTGCCGACGGTGGCGAGAGCGGTGGCGGTTCACCGACCCAGACCCTGAGACGGCGGGCGTCTTCCCGTCGGCTGCCCCAGATCGGCCCGTCGAGACGGCCCCCGCTCTCATGGCCCGGTTCAGGTCGGAGGTCGGCGAGGGGGAGATCAGCCTGCCGAGCGCGAGCGAGCTGCTGCGCGCCCCCGCCCCGCTGCCGCCGACGCGCCTCCAGCTGGAGCGGGTCGGACTCGTGCCCGGGCTCGACGACAGGCTCTTGGCGCCATTCGCTGGGCGCAACGGCATGCCGAGACAGCCCGCAACCCGTCGGGCGCCGACTTGCGCTGGAAGGACGAGAAGACCGCCCATGCAGCCGCAACCCTGGAGCAGCCCACCAAGCCCTCTGCCGCGGCCCCCAAGAGCTGGTCTCGCACCGACGACGACTCCGAGGAGGGCACCCAGTCGCAGGCCGACGCTAGTGCGACCGAGCCGAGGCCTCCTCGTTCGCGCCTTCCACCTGGACTTCCCCGACCTATGTGCAGGCCCGCGCCCCGTCAACGTGATCTGCGCCGTCGTCCAGTTCCGGGGGGTGCTCTTGTTGCGTGCGGTGTCCGCTGCGGTAGCCGCCTACCTACTTCGGCCTCGCAGCGGTCGACGCCTGGGCCGGCGATCCTGGCGCTCTTCACTGGGCGCGGTCGTTTCGCGGGCGTTTGCCGAGGAGCGGGGCTTCGAGTCGCGATGCTTTGCGAGGTTGGAGCTGGGCCCCACTTCGACCTCGCGCGGCCCGAGGTGCAAGCGGAGATCCTGAGGTGGCTTCGGGCAGGGCTCATCCAGCATGTCTTCCTGGGGGCCCCCTGCAGCCGCTGGTCAGAGGCGCGCAGCGCAGGACGGCCCGGGACGGACGTCGACCGCGCCGGCCTGGCCTGCGCTCGCTTCGCCGCCCGGACCCTCCGAGTGCGCATGCAGCAGGGCATCTGCGTCGCGATCGAGAACCCACGGCGCAGCGGCTCGTGGAGCCGGCCTTCACTTCGAGACGAACTCCGACGATCAAGTTGCCAGCGCGTCGACTTCGACATGTGCGCCTACGACACCGCCTGGAGGAAGCCCACCAGACTTGGGGCCAACGCCCCTGGGGCGGAGGCTCTGCGCGCTTATGCCCTGGAGACCGTCGGCGCGTCATCCTGGGTGGGGAAGGTCGGGCGCGCTGCCAAACCTTCCCGCTGGCGGACCTCCTTTGCGGGCGCCTGCCCGCCGAAGGTCTGCGTCGCCATCGCCGAGCTGCTGGGTCGCGCTGCTCCTCCTGATTCAGCCTGTCGCCGCGGTGAGGGGGGCTTTCAGACTGGCGGGATGGCCGACTGCTTGAAGCCGCGGGAGACTACGACACCGGCGCGAGCAGGTGGCGCGTGGCAGTCCCGCAGGCCCCGCAGCGCGCCGTCCTGGGCTGGGAGAATTGCCCGCGACGCTGGGGCGGACGGGCGCCTAGGGCGGAGCTCTGCGTCCTCGGCGAGGTCGGCGCTTGGAATCGCGCCCGCCCGCCGGAAGCGGCTGCGGGCTACATGCCTGGCCGACGCCGCCCCAGGCATTCTCCGACGGGCGACCATCACTGCTCGAACGCGGCTCACCTACAACAGGCTTTCAATTTCGTGAGGCAGTTCGCCGCGGACCGAGGGCCGACGCCACGGACCATGGACGACTGGGGCCACATCCGCAACGACCTACTCGAGGTAGAGTTCCGGGCGGTAGCGTCAGCCGCGGTCGGGCGCATGGCTATCTACAGCGCGGCGTGGCACCTGGACTGCGCGCCCCGCAGCCCGACCGTCCTCCCGCTGGCGAAGAAAGCGCCGAAGGGTTTCCTGGCCGCCCGCCCGGGCCCCATGCGAGACCCGCCTGCCTTCGAGGCCGTCTGGGCAGTCGTCGCCTCGTTCATGAAAGGCGACGCCCCGGCCGTCCGAGCCGCCGGAGACGGTCGTCAGCCAGGCCTTCCGCCCGAAGCCCGGCACGCCGAACAAGACTGGGCCTTGGCGGTGGCCCCTGAGGGCGGGAAGCCGGCCAAGAACAAGCAGTTCGACCAGGGCGTGGTCCTCGGCTTTCGGGCGCGCGTGCTCCTCGGACATCGCGTGCGTGCTGGCGGCGCGGACCGCGCCCAACCAGCGGCTGCTGCGGTTCCTGACGTTGTCCAAGCTGGAGCAGTTGTTCAGGCAGCATGGCCGCGTCGACGATGTCAAGATCTCGCCCCGCAGCCGCCGACGCGCTGGGCCGTCGCATGACATGTACTATATCAACAGCAGCCCCGACGCTGTGCAGATGCGAGGCCGGTGGAGCTCGGTCAGCTCCGTCCGCAGGTACGCCAAGCCTGCCGAGCTCTTGCGACAGCTCGGCAAGACGGACCGCAGCACCCAGACATCGGGCTGTCCAATTTTTTTGGGCATGCCCGAATGAAAAAAAAAAAAAAAAAAAAAAAAAAAAAAAATGTGGAATGTCTTAAGTTTGGTTTAATGTCTTAATGTTGTCTCACATGTTTTCATTTTGGCTCAGATGTCCTATTGTTGGCTCAGATGTTTTAAGTTTGGCTCAAATGCGCCAAGTTTGGCAGTTTCCAATCACCACCATCATCATCACCATCATCATCATCCGCATCATCATCGAACATCGATCAAAGATCGTCGTCATCACCATCATCATCATCATCACCATCGCAACACCATCGCCGCGTCGTCATTAGCGGGATCGCATACGTTCAAGTCAACCAACCGTACATTCACAGTGCCAGTCTTTATATATTTATACATATATGTATCAATATTGAACGCAGGCTGTGCCGTGACGCGCGGCGTTCGTGATCGCTTGCTGCGCTCGCCCCGTGCAGCCCCGTGGCCCTGCGGATGTCCCCCGTGCTGATGGCCGCGTGGCTGGCCGCGGCAGCGGCCATGGCCGCGACCAGCGCGGTCGAGCAGGCCTGGCCTGTCTTCTCTCTCGTTGGATTGTCCGCCCCGCTCTCTTCCTCCTCATCGTCTCCCCAGTTGCTTGAGCCTATGTGCGCGCCCCTCCGCCCCCCCCCACCCCCTGCCCCCCCCCCGCCCGCCCTGCCCGCTCCGGTCGAGGGGCCCAGCAGACGCCCTGGAGCGCCGTCAAAAGCAAGGCCGACGCCGCGCTGGTCGCCGAGGCGACCCGAGAGAGCGCTCCATATATATATATATATGTTATATTTATGAGTGTATATATATATATGTACATATGTGTGTACATATATCTGTATATACACAAATAACATATAGATAGGCAGACGTACATGTGCATACAGAGGGACGGGAAGAGAGAGAGAGAGAGAGAGAGAGAGAGAGAGAGAGAAAGTGATATATATATATAGAGAGAGAGAGAGAGAGAGAGAGAGAGAGAGAGAGAGAGAGAGAGAGAGAGAGAAAAAACCACACACAACACAGAACAACATAACCAACGCTCTACAGCGGGTTGCAGCGACAGCATTCGGAAGCAGCAGCAGACAGGGTGGGAAATACATAGGAAAGGGAGAACAGGAACATCGGGGAGGAGGTCGAACAAATACGAGGGAGTGAGGAAGAGGAGGAGAGGAGAGAGAGAGAGAGAGAGAGAGAGAGAGAGAGAGAGAGAGAGAGAGAGAGAGAGAGAGAGAGATGAGAGAGAGAGAGAGAGAGTGAGAGGATGAGAGCGAGGCGAGAGAGAGAGAGAGAGAGAGAGAGAGATATGAGAGAGAGAGAGAGAGAAATAGAGAGAGAGAGAGAACAAAAAAAAGAGAGAAATAGAGAAAGAGAGAAAGAGAGACAGGGGTGGGAGTAGAATAGAGGCCTAGAGGAGGAGGAATGCCCACAGATCGTCCCTCGCCCAACCCCTCGCCCAGGCAATCCAGATTCAGTGCGAGGACGACCCAGCGGGGGGGATCCCTTTCATCCAAGGCGCGACTCAGGAGAGTGAGGAGTTGGAGGAGGAGGGGGAATCGCGGGCCATGGAGGAAGAGGGCGAGGCGAAGATTGGAGTGTGAGGAGGAGGGCGAGTTATCATGATGAGGTGGAAATGGGCACGCAGGAAGGGAGGTCACCGCGATGAGAGTGGCGAGGAGGACGAGTGACCATGATTAGAACGAGCAGGAGGAGGACGAGCGACCAGCGACCACGATGAGATGGGGAAGAATCGGGAGGAGGCGGGGCGAGCAGGACGAGCAGGAGGATCGGTGAGAAAAGGGCCAGGGGGAGAAGGGGGAATCAGATGATCGAGAGGATGAGTCGGATATGATATCGAGGAGTCGGATGGCCAGGAAGACGAGCGCAGGCACGTTCGCGCCCGACTTCAGCCAGTACCGCTGCTCGCGCCCCGACCCCGCGCAGCTGGAGGTGCGCGGGGTGGTGATCGGGCCTTCGATGTTCCTCCTGCTCCTCCTCCTCCTCCTGCTCCTCCTCCTCCGCTTTGCTTCGTCTCGTGCTCTTGGCTGCCCGTTCTTCTCTTCGGGTATGTGCCCTCCTCCTACTCCTCCTCTTGCTCTTACCTCCCAGTCCTCGTTCCGCCTCCTTTTCCCCCGTGCCCTTCTCTTCTTTTGCGGCGGCGGCGGCGGGCGGCGCGGGCGCCCCGTGCTTCCTGAGTTCGCACCGTGCCCTGACCCTTTCATTTCCCCGCAGGGGTCTCTGCTCCTCTAGCAGCATCCTCCTTCCCCCTAGTCGTTCTTCCTTTCCGATCTCGCATGCTCTCCTACGTGATCCTTTTCTTCCTCCGCGACCATCGCATTGTTCCTTCCCCCCCTGCCCTGCCGTCGTCCTCATCTCAGCCCCTCGCCCTCGCCTCATCGACCCATCCCCATGCCCTTCTGCCTCCCGACAACGCCCGGCCTAATCCGATCCCAGCCCTCGGACTCCAACTCGGCGGGGGGAGGGCAGGCGCGGCGCCTGGCCCTCGAGGCCTCGGACGCCCTCGACGAGAAGAAACGGTTCGCCCAGAGGACGATGGAGGCGGCCGAGGGGTTTGAGGGGAGTAGGCGCCATCGGCCCCAATGGAAGGAGCAGCGGAAGGAGGAGGAAAGGGGGCAGCTGGGGCAGAGGGGCCCCGACTGCGGGTAGGGCGTGATGTCGGTGAGATCTCTCTTCCTTCTTCTCTTTTTCTCGCTCTCCCCCCCTCTCTCTATCATCCCCCACTTCACTTTGGCAGTTCCACTGCGACGCGCGCGCGCGCGTCGGGGGGGGGGGGGGGGGGGGGGGGGGGCGAGAGGCGTGGGGCGAGGAGGAGAGAGAGAGAGATGAGAGAGAAGGAGAGACGAGGAGAGAGAGAGAGAGAGAGAGAGAGAGAGAGTGAGAGAGAGAGAGAGAGAGAGAGGTGAGAGAGAGAGAGAGAGAGAGAGAGAGATGAGATGAGAGAGAGGAGAGGAGAGAGAGCGAGTGCGAGAAAGAGAGAGCGAGAGCGTGAGAGAGGAGGGGAGAGAGAGAGAGAGAGAGATAGACGAGAGGAGAGTGAGCGGGAGACCTTCAAAAAAAACCCAGCAACTACAAACAACGTGATAGGAGAGGGGGAGAGAGAAAGAGAGAGAGAGAGAGAGATCGGACAAGTAGGCGGACCAGGGTCCGTCCGCGAGGCGCACTGCGGTGCGACAACTCGCAAACACTATTTGCGGCGGTGCAGCCTTTGGATACGAGGGCGGGCAACAAAAAAAACCCTCCCCCGGCGCAGTGCGTCAGACGCTACAGACGGCGGACAGACGATGATGATCTCACCTGTCAGACCGCGTGAGGAAAAGGGCCCCAACAAGAAAGGCGACGTGCTGACGCGTGGCTAGGCGGCTTGGCAGACCGCCAGTTGGGCGCTTGGCCGCTAAGCGGCGCGCAGTGACGGGGCACCCCCCGCCCCCACGCCCTGACACCGTGGACGCGGAGCCACGCGTACACACGGGCAGGCAGAAAGGAGGAGATTAGCGCGGGGCACCTGGTGGAGCGCCGCGGAACGATGACAGCATAGCTTGGATGGTGAGTGACGGCACGGCACCATCGGGCGAGGCCGTGAGCAGCTCGGCAAAGGCTCGCCCAGCGCTGTGGAGGCGCTGGAGTAGAGGGCCTTGACGAGCTTGGGCGGCGGCGTGGTCCGCGGCGAGAGCTAAGCACCTCTGCTGGAGAGCAGCCATAGCCTGTGACAGCTCGGTTTCGCGGTCGGTGAGGGGTGGCTGCTCAGTGCCAGCAGCCGAGGGCCTCGAGACAGAGGCGAGGTCCTCGGTGCGCCTGTCCAAATGGTGGACTAGCGTAGTGCGGCACCCTGTACGCTGTCGTCCGTCACCCTTGAAGGGTGACTGGAGGGGCACACGCGACCCCAGGGCTGGAGCCGCTAGGGCCACGCCCCGAGAGGTCGGGAGAGCCGCTTCCTCTCGCTCAGCAACGATGGAAGCGTGGACGGGGCACGAGGGCCTGTCTGGTTTAGTACCCTGCGGGGGGGCTGAAGCCGCCCCCGCGTGCTGCCGGCGGTGGGGGGGCGGAGTGGTTTGCGCGGTGGGACCAGTCGTGATGCCGTGCAAGGGCTCTGAGGTCGGTCGCGTAGAAGGTTGGCGTCTCGGTAGGGCGGCATGGTCAGCAGCGTGTGGTATCGGCGGTGCGTCCTCCATGCCACTCAGTCCGCGGGGGTCACCCAGGTCATGGTCGGCGTCTTGGCGGTGGCCGATATCATCGTATGTGGGCGATGTCGCTCTCAGGGACGGAGTCGCAATAGGGATCGAGAGGTTACCCGACGGGGCGGGGTTTTCGCTGGCTGGTCCGTCGTCCAAAGCGTCCAATCCCCCACCGAAGCCGAACAGGTCATCCTCCTGTTCGTCAGCGTCTTGAAAATGAGCGGCGTTGTCATGTGGGTGCGCTGCCGCTCTCAATGGCGGAGTCGGGGGCGCCGTGCGGGTGCCCGACGGGGCAGGGTTGGCGCTGGCTGGCCCGTCGCCCAGGAAGTCCAGGCCCCCACCAAAGCCGAACGGGTCGTCCTCCTGTTCGTCGAATATCGCCCGGTGGGCCTCGGCCCAGAGCTCGTCCGGGTTCTGTGGGATGTCTGGTCCAGCCGCGGGTGGTGCCTGGTCAGACAGCAGGGGATTTGGTTCCATTTTGTTGAGTTCCGCAGCTGTGAACCCTGCCCTGCGGTGTGGGAGGGGGAGTGTACGGTGTCTACGCTCGTAGATGGCGACAGCGACTCCGTGAAGCACGGTCGCTTGGCGATGTCGTGTTTTGGCAGCTTCGACAATGTCGTCTGGAAGGTTATGAGTACGTGCCGCCGTTGTGGCGAGGGCGTCAGCCTGACGATTGTACTCCTCCGCGATGGGCCCGATGAGCCCGAGGTCGATGCCCATGTCGCCCTGGTGGCTAGCGACTTTCTCGACGCGGAACATGTTGGGCTTGGCCATGACGCATCGGTGGATCTTTTCCCAGA